ATTGCATTTTAGTGGCTAGCCCATTAGCGGTGACCACCTTGAGGTATTTTTAACTCTACTCAGTCTACTTTGAGTTCACTTTGCTGTACTACAGGGTCGCAGAGCAAACTGCTTTACTAAAACTTTCACCTGAGTAACCCCTGTTCTGATTTCACCACCTCATCGCCAAACACGACTTCCTCCTTCACAACAAGTGAAGCCAGAAGCATGTGACAATTTTTGAATTCTACTCAAGATTCCAGGCAGATTTGATGTATCATGTCCTATACCTGAAACTAAGCGTTTTTGGTATAAGGATTTAAATATGTCTTCAAAACTGTCGAAATAGTCTGGCTTTTTTAATCAGAGATTCTATAAATGCTAAAATAAAAAATTAAATAATTCCAAATTACCTAAAACATATTATTTTGGGACAAAATAACCATACATTCCCTGGCAGATTCTCGATTCTATATTCAGTAACATAGATTCTTACCGTTTTTTATAATTTCAAGTTTCCTAAAACACCGTCATCATCTCTTGGGCTATTAAGGGTCCAGACTTAAGCTAAATTTAAAGGGATTTTAAATGCATTCCATAGGCGGCGGCTCATTATTTACGTAGAATGTATCAGGTGATTCTAATTAGTTACGCTTTACGTGTAATTGAGCCGCGAGATTTTGCTTGGTGTTTAGAGGCACTATAGCTTAGCAGACGTTCCAACTTGATTTAATTAAAAACATGTTTCTTTTTATACAGTATGTCGCTAATGTATGGAATAAATTCATTATTTCTAAAATAATCGACTTTTGAAAAAAATCCAAAAACCAATTTTAATTTTTGAATCGTCATCACATGATGTAGATGTAACGAACATTACGTCACCAGTATTACCGTGGTGACGTAATCGGCAATTTTTTTAAATGCAACCATGTGTCTCAAAACACCTCATTGGAAAGGTCTTCTAATCGTCTTTACAACGATGTAATTATTTGAATATTTATTTCTATAGGGTCGACCAAAACAGTTTTGGTCGACCCTGTTACTTGTTATGTTATTCTCTTTAATTTTTGTTCTATAAAATTTTTTTATAAAATGGTCCGTATTCGAGAAATTTGACAAAATGTAAGAAAATCAAATTTTTATAAAAAAAATTTTAAATAAATGTTGTTTGTGATACAATTCTCTATAATTTTTGTCCCATACATAATTTCTCTAAAATGGACCGTATTCGAGATATTTGCGAAAAAGTGTAAATTTTGAATTTTGAAGAAAACTCAAAAACGGTTAAAGAAAAAACCTTAATTTTTAAACTTATTCTTTATTCCGACCTGAGGTAAACTGATTAGATTTTGGGCAGAGTCGGAACATTTGGGGGTACTTTATAGGGGGTCATTTTTATATTTTATTAAATATATCTGTTATGTTTGGAGAAGAAAATTCTTTAAATAAAAGTTACTTCTAAAAATATTATTCTCTATAATTTTTGTTTTATACAAAATTTTTCCTAAAATGGTACGTATTCGAGAAATTTTCAAAATGTAAAATATTCTGATTTTTAAGAAAATTATTAAACTAAAAGATGGTTGCGATATCGATCTCTATACTCGTAAATTTTGTTTTTTACATGATTTTTCTAAAATGGACCGTAATGGAAAAATTGGAGGAAAAGTATAAAATTTAAATTTTTCAGCATTTTCGTTGGCAATGAGTGTAGAGAAAAATGTTTCTAGTTAGATATGTACGTGATAAATGTATATATTAAGTTAACCTCTAAATATTTACAGATGTGCCACAATAGGTTGTACAAAATAACTGGAAAAAGCCTGTATTAACTAGATAGGAAAATCATGTGTTAGACACATCAGATTTTTAAATAAGCAGAGGCGATTGCCCTACGACATTTTCTTCCAATCGTAATATTAAAAAAAAATCCCATATGGATCCAACTTAATGGAACACACTGTATATGAAACAAAATAATTATTACTTAATATACTTTGTAATCACAACTGCACAATTTATGAATGAGAAAAAATAGCCATTTAATGTATTGTTACGCAGCACCCTGCGGCTATCATAGGAAACGTACAGATAGAAAAAGAAGTGGAATGTTACTCATCACTCTACAGTGTGCTGCGGTCGTCATAAGTAAAAAAAGTACAAGTAAAAGAATATTCCAGAAATGTTCAGAAATGTCATTACCCGTCAAGAACATTCTAGATGACAGGTCGAGAAGGTCAAGAAAGCTATATAAGTCGACGACCTGACGTCAGAGTTAGTTTTATGGAGACGTTATACGTGAATGTTATCAGTGGTAAAGTTATTGTCAAAGTTGAATTACAGTTATTGTAAAGTTCAGTTGAAATAAATTGTGATACCAAAAACCAGCGTAATATTAAAAGCTGAAAGTGCTACTTTATCACTCGAGATAAAAAGTTGCCGCAAATTATCGTGAGCGACAAATAGCTTTTCGCTCGAATTACACACAAGATTTTTTCTATGATCACACGATATTACCAAATTCAAATTTTACTTCAACGTTTTTTTAAGTTACCGCTAACGAAGCGTATATTATGTGTATGTTGTGTTGCCTATTTACCTACAGATTGAAAAAGGGGGAATTCTATTTTTAATATTTCAATTATCGTTTGAATATTAAGACGTTCAACTAAAATATTCAGATTGGTCTACAGTTTGTTTTAAAATACCTATTAGCTTTAAAGTGTGTCAAATTATAACAAATGGCGGAAAACGTCAACTTTCCAGTTAGATTTGAATGTGCAAAAGCCTACATTGGATAGTGATCCTAGAAAAAATATTTAAAACAGTTCTGTTTTTTCTCGTCCTATTTTCGGATTTGTGGTAGATGCGCCCGTGGCATTTGCGCTTTCCACGAAAAAGTGTGCTTGCGCTCGGGTATCCTTTTCAAGAACGGCCAAGAGAATGGCACTTGCGCCCTGTTTGAATCCAAGTAGTTAGAATAAATAAAAGAGTAAGATCAAGCAGATAGGTAAACATAAAATATTAAATATTGATAATGAAAATGTGTGTAAATACATTATACCTATTACTATTATATCTATATAAAATATTTAATGATTTTTACCCTTAATCTCATTTAACAGGTATTACAATAGTTATTTTCTGGATTTTATTTGCAGAGTTTTACTCTTAATTTTATTAAACAGGTATTACAATAGTTGTTTTCTGAATTTTATTTAAAATATTTTACGAGGGTTTTGCCCTTAATCTCATTAAACAGGTGCTGGTGTATAGGTACTCTTTTTAAATAGATATACACATATTCGTAAAATCGCATGAAGACATTATTATAAAATTGAACACTGAGATATTTACACGTTTATTAAAATGTATGAATGTTTACGAGGATTTTTGTTATTTCCGTGTCATGGCTGATGTAGCTGAAGTTACAATTACTTTCAAAAATAAACCTTTGGATCTTTATAATGGCTATCAATACAGACTAAAAAAAAGTTAAGAGTACGTGGTTTTATACATAAAAGAAAAAAGTGCACAATGTAGAGGTTCCTTAACTTTGGAAAATATTGTCATTTTAAAATCAGGTATATACATTAATATAAATTCAATAAAGTAGTTAGCTACTTGTTATTTATTTAATATTATTTCAGGTGCAACGCAACCTATCCCTATATCAATTATATTTCTAATTAATTAGAAAAAAATATACCGGAAAAAATACTAAAATGAAAGTTGGATAACTAATTTTTTGGAAAACCTATACTCTAATCTGTACAATATTTTTTTCTTTTTCCATCTCAATAATTGTACTTTTTTGGCTTTTTTGATGTAAAGTGAATATGGTGTTTTTCAATTTTTTCAACACTTCTATAGTTTTATTTTTCCTTCTTTTCAATGAAAATTACCAGTAATTTGCTGCGTTTGAGAATCCACATCGGATGCATTTTTTACATCTCGAGCGTTTTTTTATCCACATCGGACACATCTGTCCCATTACATTTACGTATACTGAATCACGTGATCAAAGATTTTTTACATCTCAGATGCATCCGATGTGGATTCTCAAACGCAGCAATTGTTAGTTATTCCTAATATTATTAATTCTGTTAGTAAAATATTTTTTCTATAAACTTAAATTTAAAGTGTGACATTTAATTTAAAAGATTATTTTATTAGTAATAACAAAATGCACCACATAACATTAAACTAAATATCTCCATATTGCACTTGCAACAAAATAAAGTTAGTAACAATGCAATATTTTTTCATTTGCATTGAATTACTAATAAAATAATCTTTTAAATTAAATGTCACACTTTAAAATACGTAACTGGCGCTAAAATTAAAAGTAAATCCAATGCACAGTAATAGGTATTGCTGAATTCGCAATTCCTCTTAAAATGATCTTTTCGATGATGCGTCATACTTGGTACTTTCCCTATCTAAATTATATTAGTCAGAGTGACGGAGGGGAGAAGAATAATAACATATGAAAATTAAGGGTATGATGAAAAGGTGTCCCCCTTGAAATAAAAATCGCCGTTTTTTTTAGAGATACGCCGCTAACAACTCTTAATCAGAGATACAAGAAAATAAAAGAAATACATAACAAGAAACTTTTTTGGGGTAGTAATAGCCCATCTTCCAGAGATTCACCATAGTAAAAATAATAAAATTTAGAATACTAAAAATGTATCGCAGATATTTTAAGTTTACCCACCTACTAACTACCTACCTACCTACCTACCTGTAAATAAAAACAGGGCGCAACTGCCACTAACTTGGCCCTTCTTAAAAAGCACGTAGGCTTCAAAAGTAAGATAGGGCGCAAATGCCACAATTTTAGGTAGTGGCCGCAAGTACCACGGGCGCATCTACCATAGATTCATATTTTGAACCAAACAAAAATAATTTGTAAATAAAAGGGTCAAATTGCCTTTTTTAAGAGATCATTCGCCTCCGGTATCTAAAATGACCAGGTTGGACTTCTTATGGAGATGTACATGAAAAAAATGGGCTCATAATCGTGTTATTATATTACTGAAATGAAAAAAATATATATAAAATGAATTCATTTTATTATGGTTTATATTAAAAAAAATCCTATGACCAGCATTCTGTTTGGTATCGTCCACATTTTTCTAATTTTTCTATAAATTTCGAAGCATCCTTCAAGTTCATGCCACCAGATTCTTTGCATACGTCTATGAAGGCACTACGAACTTCCTGTGGCATATTTTTTGCACTACCGGCTATGAAAATGTGGCCGTTATTTTTTAAAATATTCCAAACTAGTTCCTTATTTTCTCTAATTTTGTGTTGAACATATCTATAAAAAAAAATGTTATGAAGTTTTATATTGTTAAAAATAAAGTTGTAATAGGTAAAATTCAATGAATCGAGTGCGTATATGGTTCTACTCTCATAGTGCAATGTGAGTTGTCAATGCGAAATACATGTAGTTAAAACCTAGTCATCAGTTAGAACCGTATAAGTTGTTTTCATATTAATGGTGTTCACAGGAAACACAATAAAAGCTTTTTTTATCTAAGATTCAGTCACAATTCCCGGATCTTCACTCCACTCCACGATCTCCGGTCAAAAAGAAAGTACTATATATTACACATTTACATTTTTTAACTTTGGGTGGATTTTTTAGAATACGTTTGGTGCCATATCTAATTTAGTTTTTATATGGGACTAGCTGTTGCCCGCGGCTTTGCACAAGTTACAGAACATTGACCTGCCGACTCATCACATTCCACATAGTCAAAGGTTTAGCGATGCAACCACGGCCGGCCAATTTCCACCGATGTCAGAACTTATTTTTAGTATAAATAGATTGCCAATTAATATTATTTTTTAGTCTGATATATATTTTACTTTGTATTTATAATATAAAAATTATTAAAAGTATTTTCAAAAATAAAATTATTAGTTTTTAAAAAGTGAGTTTGAAAGTCAAAACTCGTAATTGGCGCAGTCAGTAGGATAGTGGAAGAGTCCTTTAGAAGATCCTCGTCGTTCTCAAGCGTTTATCCTCTATCCAAATCAAGAACCCACCTCCAAGGAAAAACCAAAGCGAAGTTCACGCTAGGAAGTAAGAACAGGAACTTAAACCAAGATTCCAGGAATGCAATACAGCATCATCTGCATCTTGTAAGCAATATATGTAAGACTCAGACGAAGACTTAGATTTAGACACTTCTACACGAAGTTTTAACTCAAGTGCAGAAGAATTAGACTTACTACAAAAACCTAATTCCTTAACCCTTTCATTGCGGAAGCCGTCCAAAGCCGCAGCAGAAAGTGGCAACTGAAGTGCAGGAACCGTCTATAAATACAGCAGCTTCCGATAGGTTTACCTGCGGCTCCGTGGCAGCCGCACACCACGATACATTAAAAATGACGCACGCCGCAGTGAAAGGGTTAAGGGTTTCAAATTTAAACCTAGACGGGACACTAACCAACACCGACGTTTCTTCTACTACTACCAAGATGGTTGTACCACCATTCGATGTAAAGAACCTGTGCATCCTCCCAAATTTCGATGGGAATCCAAACGAGTTGTACGAATTTATCAAGGTATTCATCCTACTTCTAAACCATTACTACGATCAAAGCAACTTGGCCAACATCCAGAACCAGTTTTTACTCCATGGGATAACCAGAAAACTAACGGGAAGAGCAAAAGAGATTATATCAATATACGGTTGCGAAAGCTGGGATGACATTAAGAATACGCTCATCCTAAACTTTGGGGATCAACGTAATGAAAACACCCTAACAAGAGATCTAGTAAACATGAGACAAGGTCCAAATAAATCGCCAAATCAGTTTTACGAGAAAATCATGGGTATTCTAAACTGCATATCAAACTACATTGAAGTACATACCCAGAGTCCAGAAATAAAAAGAAGCAAACAGGAATTCTTTCGCCAACAAGCCTTAACTACCTTTTTGGCAGGACTTCGAGAACCTATGGGGTCTACAATAAGAGCAATGAGGCTAACCAACCTAACCGCAGCCATTCAATACATTCAGGAAGAAAATAATATTAGGTATGCCCAGAAAAGCTACCATCAGAACACAACACCTCAAAATGGAAGACCAACCCACAACGCCCAAACTCCAAGGCAACATATTCACCAACAACAACCAGCCTATACACAACCACCACAATTTCAACCTACCCAAGCAGCACCACTACCATGGCAGCAGCAAGTTTTCAAACAACCACAATCTATGGCGACACCAATAATGAGATATAAAAACCCTCAACCTACTTTTGGACCATCATTCCAGAACTACCAAAAACTAGCCAACTAGCCTGGTCAGAAATTTTAAATCCCACACCTGATCCAATCCAATTAACCCTTTTGGAACCCGTAAACTGTCGTAAATTCAACGTCGAAGAATATCACCTATATTCCATGGAAACATCTCTACGACAAAACTCAAAACAAGTTATCGACGATCTAATAAGAACAGATCACTTAAGCGTGGAAGAGGAAGAACATATTCGTCGACTGTGCAGAAAATATTCAGATATATTTCACCGACCAGACTCTCCCCTTACATTTGCAAATGAAGACAAAAACCATATCAAGACAAAAGATGAACTACCAGTCTAGTTCTACAGATATCCATACATCCACAAAGAAGAAGTCAGAAACCAAATTTCCTCCATGTTAGAAGAAGGGATTATAAGACCAAGCCAATCTCCGTGGTCCTCCCCAATATGGATCGTCTCGAAAAAACCCGATGCCGCAGGAAAAATCAAATGGCGTATCGAGGTTGACTGCAGAAAGGCGAATGACAAAACTATCGACGACCGGTACCATATACCCAACATCTCAGATATTCTGGATAAACTTGGACGGTGCCAATATTTTACCACATTGGACTTAGCAAGTGGATTCCATCAAATAGAGATGGCAGAGTAGGATATCCCAAAGACGGCTTTCAACGTAGAAAATGGGCATTATAAGTTTGTAAGAATGCCATTTGGTCTCAAAAATGCCCCTGCAACATTCCAGCGAGTCATGGACAACGTTTAAAGAGGACTGCAAGGAGAAATATGCCTAGTGTATATGGATGACATAATTGTATTTTCAACGTCTTTGCAAGAACACATGGTAAATCTAGCAAAAATATTTCAACGACTTCGAGACACCAAACTGAAAATTCAAATTGACAAATGCGAGTTTCTAAAGAAATAAGTAAATTTCCTAGGACATGTCACTCCAAGCGGGATAGTGGATACTATCGGAAATTTATCAAGGACTTTGCTAGGATTACAAAGCCGTTGATCAAATGTTTAATAAAGGACTCCAAAATCGAACATACTAAAGAGTTTCTCAAATGTTACAACATCTGCAAAAACCTTCTGATCACGAACCATTGCTTCAGTATCCCGATTTCACAAAGCATTTTAACCTCACAACAGATGCAAGCAACTTTGCTATTGGAGCCATTTTATCTCAAGGCCCTGTTGGAGGTGATAAACCAATCGCCTACGCCTCTAGGACACTAAACGAGACAGAAAAATTTCGAATTTTGAAGAAAATTCTTAAACGGATAAAGAAAAAAACATTAAATTTTAAACTTAAGTTTTATTTCAACCTGACGTGAAATGATTAGATTTTGGACAAAGTCGGAACATCTGGGGGGGGGGGGTACTTTATGGAAGGCAGTTTTTATATTTTATGGAATATATCTGTTATTTATGTTTGGAGAAGAAAATTGTTCAAATAAAAGTTACTTCTAATATTATCTGTAATGTATGTCAAATTTTCCTGAAATGGTCCGTATTCGAGAAATTTGACAAAATGTGCAAAATTCTGATTTTTAAGAAAACTGTTCAACTAAAAGTTGTTTGCGATATCGATCTCTATAATTTTTGCTCGTACATGATTTTTCTAAAATGGGCCGTAATGGAAAAATTGGAGGAAAAGTGCTAAATTTAAATTTTTCAGTATTTTCGTTTTCAATGAATATCTATAGAAAAATGTTTCGAGGTAGATATATGTGGAAAATGTATATATTTGGTTTATCCTTTAAAAATTTATAGAGATGCTGCAATAGGTTGTACAAAATAACCGGAAAAAGCCTATAATAACTAGATAGGAAAGTCATGTGTTGGACAAATCAGATTTTTATATTTGTAATGTGTCTTGATCCAAATTTCAAATCTTTATACCATCTTGATTATTGGAACAGGATGTTTTAAATTGTCCCTAAAATTAAGTCTAATACAAATGTAACATATCTACACATTCAGAAACGAATATTTCCTTCAACGTAAGGAACATTGATATTTTTGCTAATATCTCAATATCTTCGAAAATGGATGGTGTCGGTTTTGCAAGTAGACGATTCAAATTTACGTTTCCGACGTGATGTGTTTGTACATGCATGTAGGAAACAAGTTTTTTGTCAAAAATTACATTGCGAAAATAATTCGAATTTATTTTTATTAATAATTATATTACTTTAATAAACCTCCTAAAAAGTTCACATTTTTGTCACCAGTTGGCGTTTAAGTCATGATGCATGGTTGCAAAAAGAAGTAAAATAATTTACCTCTTAAAGAAGTTTATTCTGACACAGTTTTGAAATAAAATTTTAAGAAGATGTTTTCCAAGGATAAATACCGGTAAAATAAAGCAGTATCTCTTTTACTGCCCTTTTTGACATCGTATTTGGGTGAATCTTTATTTTCTGCGATGAAAAATATAAAATCTGGATACCGGTCTCGACTACTTGATGAGGACAGCGAGATCAGAGTGGCCCTGTCTACAATTCGCCCTCGCGTAGATAAACTTTGTAAAAGTCGCCAGAGTCAAATTACAAACTAATTTTAAGTTCCTACAAGCTTTTTTCTTTACGTATTTGTATGTTATGTTCTTACGCAATAAAATATAAATGTTTAATATTTGTACCTGTTGCATGTACTTACCTACAATAGAACTTTTGGCATATTAATTTTATAACTTAAAATATATTTTGCCTAATGTTAATTTTAACTGTCTTTTGTGTTAGTTTTCTGTATATTATATATTATCTATTATCTTAGCTCTAGAATTTTAAACTTCTATGAATTGGACAGTGTGAATGGTGTTTCTGTTTTTTCTATGGACGTACTGTGTATGAGCTGACTAGTCTGATAAGTTTTTTTTAAACATTGTAAAAATGTAAAAATACTTTATTGACGAATAAATTCTATTCTATTCTTCTAACTATAAAAAAAATTTACATTTAAGGGTGTCGTGAATTTGCACTGAGTAAAAAAATCAAGAAATCACTTAAGCGAAGCCATTGACGTCATTAGCGTCAAAAAAAGCTCAATGGCATAAATTCAAACGCATATTTTATCGGTCATTTTACGTAACAACTAGAAGTAGACGGTGGGCTTCCGTGTTTTTCACTCATTAAGCGTTATGTATTAGAACAAATGTACTCAGATAAAAAGAAATTTGAGCTGTATATCTTCAGTTCATGTAATTACAACCAAAAGGTGAACAAAGTTCTCATTTACTGGATAAAGTGAATAAAAATTGTTTAAATTAACTTCGTTTTATTCTACATACTGATCGTTCATGAAGATAAGAAGAATATTCATGATATATTGGCCCTTCAAATGTATAAATATTATTCATCCTTCATCGAAGGTATACAGCATAAGAGCACATGCCACCTTCTCTTTAAACTCTAGTTTTTAAATTGTCACCGTGTAGATATTTTTACTTTTTATTAAGTTATTTGTTATATAAAGTTAATATAAATAAATAAAATCCATACGTGTGTAAATAAGAAAATAGTTAACTAGCAAACATGAATCTAAAGTAGAGAAACAATCTACTTACATTTTATGTTCTTCTTCCCTAGAAAATGCGGTTATAAACGTCAATTTATTACTATTGCTCATAGTCTCGAAATCGTCTTTACAGAAGAAATCTTTATTCCTATAACGACAACCAAAAAATAGTGCCAAGTTATTATTAGTGCAGTAATTATCACTTAAACGATCGAAAATAAAACTTCTGAACGGCGCTACACCGGTTCCAGGGCCCACCATTATTACTGGAACATCCTAAAATTGCAATGACATAAATATTTATATAGTATCTTGCTCATTCTACTTCTTCAGACCACCTAAATTTTGTTCTTTTACAAAGCCTAACGGACCATTAGTGATGACGTAAAAATGAGCAAAACAAAGTTGGTTATGGAGTAAATATCTAGTTTTTGAACATTAATTATTTCATTTAAGTGAGTTTAGGTCTTAAAATATTGTTATCCTGCACCCTGCAGTGCCCTGTGACTGTTATAGGTACACGTACGAATAAAAGAAGAAGTGCAATGTCACCCATCACCCTGCAGTGCGTTGCGGTTGTCATAAGGAAAAGTACCAATAAAAGGAGAGAACAGTCTAGATATGTCTAGAAATGTCAATCCGTGTCAGGAAACATCTGGAAGTTTCAAGAAAATGAAGGGAGCTATATAAGGCGATAATCGTGATATCACAGTTCAATTTTATGATAGACGTTGTACGTTAATGTAATAGTTGTATAGTAACAGTTTGAATTTAGAAATAAATTGAGTTTACCAAAAACCAATGTAACATTTGGAGACAACGCGCAACGGTGGGATCCAAAATAAAAGTTACCTAAGTATTCTGGTAAATACTAGATCCACTGTGTACGAAACAGGCATGGATACTTCAGGTCCCCCAGCATGTTTTTTGCTGATGGAAGAGGAGAAAGAAAGGCGCAGTGAGCAAGAAAAAGAGGAAAAGGAAAGGCGCAGTAAGGAGGATGAAGAGGAAAAGGAAAGGCACACGAAGAAGGATGAAGAGGAAAAGGAAAGGCACACGAAGAAGGATGAAGAGGAAAAGGAAAGGCACACGAAGAAGGATGAAGAGGAAAAGGAAAGGCGCAGATATCTTAACACAATAACAAGATAATTTAAAAACTAATTTAGAGCAACAATAAGAACTAACCAACCTAATATCTCACATAATCTTAAATATCCAGCAAAATATGCAACGAAATAGCATAAAATGAGAGCAGAAGATGCTTCGAAGAATCGGACACCTTCAAAGAACCTGTAGAAGCAGGGATCGTTGTATAAATCGAGAATCGTGGAATGAGGCTCGAAATTCACCTAGATCAACCTCCCGACGCCCGTTACGAAGTCCAACAAGAAATAATACAACAGATATGTCTTCCGGAGAATCCGATCACCCACAACTAGTCGGCTTTCTAGCAATAATCAGGGACACGAACAAAGGTCGACACTACGGGGCAGGCGTCAGCTGTAACAGAGCGCCCCTAAACTCGCATTTACACCTTAAATAAAAACGAACAAAATTTATTGGTCAAGGGGTGTATTAACAACCAAAAAGGCACCTTCGTCATTGATACTGGTGCAACCAAGTCTTTCATTCGAACAGGGATCCTGCATAGAAAATTATGACCAACTAGAAAAAGCTTAGTTCTGCAAACAGGTACAGGACACAGTATTCCTGTTCTAAGAGTTTTTGGTCCCAATATTTTTTTATTTATTTTATTTATTGGTACTCTGCTTAACAGGCAATACGGACTTAAAAACTTCAGATTTAATGCTATATACACAATTAAATATCTCTATGGTAGTACTAAGTTACATAATGTACATATATTATGCAGTGGCGAAGATTTTAAAACAGTTCTTGCTGATAGATAGAAAGTAAACTGAGACCGTGTAGTAGTTTTTGGAACGTTAAAAGCAAGTTTTTCTAATAATTGTTCGCAATGGATTTTGTTATGTACTAATTTGTGAAAATGATTAGATGACAATTTCGCCTTGTTTCAAGATCAATAAAGTTATGTCTATTAAGCAGATATTGAAGAGGTGTACCTATTTCCAGATAAACACCATCATGTTTGAAGCAAATGAATTTTAAGAATCACCGCTGCACTGATTCTAACTTGTCCCGATGAGTTTGGTAATGGGGATTCCAAATTATGGAAGCGCACTCCAGTTTAGACCGAACGAATGAAAAATACAGCATTTTAAGAGTTTCTGTATCTGAAAACTCCCTACTAACACATAACACAAACCCTTACATTGTTGATGCAGCAGATACAATTTTTTCAATGTGCAATATAAATGCGAGCTTTGGATCAAAAGTTACACCAAGATCGACAAAATGTTCAGGTGTGTCTATAAAGTTGATACTTTTTCAACTGTGAAAAAAGTCGACAAAATAAACATCCTTGGCGTTTAATATATTTTTTGTTAGCTGATGTTGCTGCTAGGTCTTAGATACGGAATTTTAGTATACAAAAGAGTTACGAGTCAGAGTGCTAACAGTGAGTCTGTTTATTATTTTGTTTCCAATGTCAGGACAATTATCAGATTTTCGCATAAATTTGTGTACTATCGGATAATTTTCGGATTAAGTAATTTTTCGGATAATGCAGTATTCTACAAAATGGACATATGTATATCTTATAATACTTATTATGAATGTATGAAAGTATAAAATCAAATTACATAACAAGTGTGGAAAGTGTAACATTTCGCACGCGTTGTAGTTTAGCACAAGCCGCGTAGCGGCAACTAAACGAGTACGAGAAATACACTTTTCAACAAGTTCTGTGTACTATTTTTCCTACGACCACGTAAAACATAATAAGAAAGTCAATTAAACACGTAACTTTCATCTGATTGTACACATTTTTTTTTTATTAAATTATTAACACAATATTATAATTGTTTTATTTTTATAAAGAAATTTAAAAAATCTGATTTTGTCTCAAGGTATCCCACGAAATGGGACACTTTAATAAAATCCAAAAAAGCACAAAACAGTTTTTTAAAAAAATATTACACAACTATGTGGAAAAAACAACTAAATAAAAATATATATGAGGTTCTAACATCAAAAGGTCCTAACGGATATTGATGCCATATGTTTCCGTTGTTTTTATCCGCTACCTTCCTTAAGCTTAATTTGTGTTTACTAAGATCTTAGACAGCCCTTTTAATTGATTTAGCACTAAACATGCCCCTTTCAGATTTTTTCCATTCTCGTGACGTGTCCTACACAAAATATTTTTCACACATCTCAATGTGGCCCAAAAATTCGTGTCTCATTGTAGCCCATGGTGGGTCTCAGTTACAAATCGCAATATTTTACTAAAACGTGAAAAAAATCGCCTCGTAATATACACAAACCGTAAAATTAATATTCAACTGTTCTATTAAATATCTCTGACCAATATTAGTCCATACGTAAATTTACCGGGAAAAATTTGCGGAAGTTTTGATATTTTGTGATTCTACGTATTTTGAGATACTTTTTCCGAATTTTTATTTTGCCACCTCGTATTTTTGCCGCTGTCGCCGTCATATTACAATAAATTGTAAAAAATAGATGTTTCAAGATATCTCGTTACTCATTGCTTTTGCAGTAAAAATGGATATGTAGTAAATTAAACTACATAATTTTCTCTACCAAATTCGTCCCTATCATTTTTTTTATAGAACCAACCGTTTTCATGTACGAGAATTACAAAGTTGAGCATACAAAGCAATACGAATTTTATTGATTGAGCCTACCGCTCGAATCTAAAAGTTGGATACGGTTCTCATAAGCTGATTGACACCTTCGCTTCGCTAGGATTTTGTTTCTCTTACACGGAAGCAACACTTTTTGAAGTTTCGGCTTTGATGCGCCCTCCTTTAGGTATTGAAGGAAGTGCTTTTTCACAGTTCGTTTTCGACAATGCGGACTTTAATACTCAAACCCTGGATGTCAGAAACACTTTTCATGCCATGGGAGGCATCCATTGTATAACGCCCGCAAGTGCCATTGCTCCTGATCACGAAAATGCTGTCAGCTCAGTACGTCGAAAATTCTGGTAGCATTGCACTACGAAGCCATGAGAAGATAAACTTTTCCAGTCTACAGGGAATTCTTATTTTAGATCTCTATACTATTTCTTCAGTCGCAAATACAATAATGTCGTCAACTTCAGATCTGCTGTGGCTCTACGGGAAATGGGCTAATTTGCCCAATATACCTGGATGGAATGGATTTATTGAAGAAGTGACACTAAACCATTCATATCAGAAATCTTTTATAGCTTGTTGCCTTTCATTAATGCACCACCGACTAACTCTGACACGATTTTTACTGTTTTAGCATCAGCCTCTGAGAAAAGTCATTAGATCAGCAAACATGTTTCATCACTTTTGATCAGCCACTGTATTTTAAAGCAAAACAAATTGTATGTTCGAGTGGCATGGAAGCAAAATTGAGAAATGTCGTTATACGATTAGGTGGCGTTCATTTATTGATGTCGTTCATGGGAGCCATAGGGTATATTATAAATGGTAGTAGATTAACCGAGCTTCTAAGTACAATTTTTGCACCGAACTCACTTGAAAAGATGTTATCTGGACATGGATTCTTATGTGCGAACTCAACACGTAACGGATCAAATAGAGAGAGACATTACATAAGAATCGCATTCTGTGGAACGAAGATAGTCGTCTCAACAGGTGCCGTATTGAAAGATGGGAATCCCAATGCAGATCATGCATACTCTTGTCCGTGCAGAGCACATGTGTCCATCTCGCAAAATTGATTTATCACCAGACCAACATGCAGGACTAGAAGTAATTCTATGCGATTTCGACAAATCGTTAATACTTGGAGTAGACTAAGAAGAATGCGTCAAAGAATTATCTCCAAAACTTAAAATTCATCTAGTAACGTGGTCCAAATGCTATATTATGGGTTTCATATTTCCGCATGGTAGGTATCAGTTATGAAACAATTTATTGAGGCCAAAAGAAGCTGAAACTGGGACCTTCATCTTAATAGTATGTAGAAAATGTTGCCCTATTTTGATGCCACTGGTCATTTTTTGTACGCTAAATGTGACCATTTATATTTACAGGATATGTATAGTTTAAAATAAAATATGAAACCTACAGAATACAGGTCTTTTACAGATAGAGGGCGCTTCACAATTAAAAGTTCTAACAAATTTTGGTGTGGCACATGGTCAGACATGGTTATTGAGAAATCACTAATGC